CTTATCGAACCGGCAATATTTGTTCGGACCATTTTTTGCCAGATGTCCCAGAATTTATGAAAACAGCTGTAAATATTAAAAATTTTTATGTTCTCAGAATGAGAACATAATTTTTAAATATTATATTCTCGAAAATATTTTTATGTTCTCGCTACACAACCCATTTCCCCAACACCGTATTACCGACATACTATTTTACCTACAGTACTACATTTTTTCGACAAGGCATACATGCGACATTACATATTCCGACATCAATTTCTTTGACAAGACAAAATTTCTAACTGAATATTTGGCAGCATCCATTTCCCCAACTAACATCGGCCCGATTTAGCATTAGGGTTGGCCTGATTAGGGTTAGGATTGGGTAAGAATTATGTGTCGAGGAAATGATGGTCATTTCCCATAACAACTGTACAGTATACGATGAACTTTTTTTTTTTTTAAAAAAAAAAAAGGAGCATTAATATTTATTTTTCAAATAAAGTTTTGAATACGTTCATTGATAAGTAAGTTACAATAGTGTACTACGAATCATCTCTTCTTAATAAATAAATTAATAAACAAATTAATAAGTAATAAATAAATAAATACTGTAAATTAAAGTTTTATTTCATCAATTATTATTTTGTATTTTAAATCAAGCCATTAATGTTTGTGAGACTAATCAAAGTTGTATTGTTTGTTTCTTTTATTTCTTACAAATAAAAACATATAAAGTCGATATAAAATTATCATTTATAACAAAAAATTGGCGGTGTTTGTGAATTTTTGGGAGTAGAAAGCCGAGTTAACTTCGTCGATAAAAAATATGAAGAAATCAGTGAAATTCTTCAATTTATTCATTCCACATAATTTATATCCACCTTTTTTGTCCAAAGGAAATAAATGGTTTGATTAAGTCCTCATGTTCTTTTCTTTTCTCTGTTTTTACAGCTGTTTTCAAAAAGATGTGAACAACGATTTCCATATACCCATATCGGCTGATTTGTGGAATTTGATAAATAGAAAAACCAATCTGTCATAGCTCTGGTCAAATTTACAGGTCATTTGACCAAGTTTGAATTTGGTTGACTTTAAATCTGGCGAAATAATCTGCAAATTGAAATCTAGGAAATATCGTCAATTTCTGATATCGATATGTGTATTAGCTTCCAAACCCAATATTGACTAACACATGATATAAAAATCACTTTGTAACCATCTTATCTGTTACTTATTCTATTTACAGACGTTTTTCTAGGTTAATTCAATACGTTACTTGCAAAACTATTGATTCAACTTCTCGCATTTAAAGATTTCGATTCCATAATAAATTATTTAATATTAAATCTAATTTTGCGGTTAACAATGATAGGTGGAACTTTATCATCTCCATATCTGATATTGTTAAATAGGGTAAAATTCTTTACTTTAATAAATTATACTTGAGAATCTGCAAATAATATGCTCAACTAACTACATACTTATAGCTGTTTTCAAAAAGGTGTGAACGAACGTAGATCACCGTGTTCCAAGATATATGAGTGTCACCAGACTTCGGGCTTACAAATTTATTTCTTGTCGGACTTAAACACTATAAAATCTGATAATTTAATTATCTTCTTTTTTTTTTTTTGCCTTTATTACTTGATAAAAATGTCGCGTCAATATAACCAGTTTTATGTGGAAATATATTCAGATAATACTACGTAATAATTTTTATTAAGATAATGAGGCTCAGCATATCAGCCTAACCACGCCTTATTTTCACTCATACATAGCCACGCATAAACATAACCAAATATCATTATAACAGAAACAATTATATAAAAGAGAAAAATGCCTGCGCCAAAATTATATTCTTTACATTACATTATGATCCTTAATTTGAAAAAATTTGTTTTACTCGCGTTATTCGCGTTGTCTTTTGCAGCTGCATATCCAAAATTTCTGGTTTTTAAATCACGAGAACAACATGTTCCTCCTGATCGAAGAGTATTAATTCCTTTAATTAAACGAGTTGTTACCACGGAAGGCGCCGCCGTTGCCAAAGAATCAACAATTCCGACCGTAACCTCCGTGATAGCTACAAAGTCTCTAGATTACAATACTGCCACCATAACTGCTTCATATGGTGACAGTATAAAACCTGTCTTAATATTACCAACACCAATTGTAACAAAAAAAATTGATCATGTTATAGTACCTCCTATAGGTGCTGTCGCTGTAGTAAAACATAAATTTGCTCCTATAAATATTACTGAGATTAAAGCTGCAGCTATATTAATACCTGTCGTCGTAGGCGGGATAATTTCCAATGGCATGAACAATCCACTGGCTCCTTTCAATCGCGAAATTTTCGGACAAAAATATGCCGAAATTATAACTCAATCGACACAAAGTACATCCACAACTACAACTGAAAGTTCTACTACAACTACAACTACTACTTCTACTTCTTCTCAAGCTCCTGCTTCTCAAGCTACTGCTGCCTCACAGGCTACTTCTGCCTCAACTAGCAATACGAATTCAGTTTTACAAGCTGCTGCTGGAATTGGAGTCGGTTTAGCCGGTGTGGCTGCTAGTGCAATTGGAGCATATTACTACATAAAAAACAAAACAAAAGGGGGGGATAATGGTGATAACAATGATGATAACAATGATGACAACAAAGATAACAAGGATGGAACAAGGGAAGTTAAAGATGATAAAGATGAACCAAAGCAGATTTTTATTCAACATCATGGTGACTCGAAAGATTTTAAGGATCCTGATGATGATGATACTGCTAAATTCTCACCGAAGGAACCTACTTTTGCCACGATTCACGGTTCACAAGCTGCATCTACTTCAATGGTTGACCTGAAGCAAGACACTGTAGGCTCTGTAGGAATGGAAAGACATCACTCTGATTAAATCCTTTCAAATAGATACATTTTATGAAGCATTAACTTTATATATTAAAGAAATAAATGCTTAGAATGTTAATGATATTTCCACAAAAGCTATAACTATATTTATTATCATATTTTTCACGTTTAATTCAATTCCTTTTGACTAGATTTTTATTTTCATGATTCAAATTCCCTGTTCCGTCAGGTAAACGCATCAAGTTATCCTTTTTACTTTTTCAATTGCATCTAGAAATTATACTATAAATTATTTTTAAGTTTATTTGTTTGAAATATAGTCAATTCAACTTATCATTATAGAAATATAATTTATATTTCAAATTTTTTACTATCTATGTTTATTACTTAGTAACATCGAATTTTACATTATTAGAAAGTAGATTTTTATATGTTATGATAATAAAATTTTTTTAATATATAATTTTAATTTAGTAATGAAATTTGATTATTTAAATAGTTTGCTTTAAAGACTATTAAGTAAACTCACGTTTTTATTTGGATTTAGAATTAAAGTTCAAAACTAGTATTATTACACTTTTCAAATCACTGTAAAATTTATGCCACACGGAAATCTGGAATCAAAAATTTTAAATATAATACTAGCCTAGTAAGGTTGCTTGCCGTAATAGGTTTACTAGAATTGGAAGGTTGCAACCTTTAATCTCGAAGTTGTAATTTTTTTGCTGTAATAGGTAATAGTTGTAATGGGTGTAAAGGTCGTAATGGGCATAATAATTTGATTAACAAGTAATTGCGCGACGCAACCAGATATTAATGAGATTTCAGTGATTTTAAAAATTTGTAATCGTATAGATTATTACGAAATTTAAAAATGCCAGATATGAATTTCTAATTTCAAAACAAGTACGCCAAATAACCATGTGCATTGACAGTAAACCATGGCATGCCCAAATCTACAGAATATTACAACGCACCTCTCCGTGTTAAGAGTACTTTCAAAAGAAAATCAAGTTTTGATCTTTCGAGTTTAAAACTTAACGAACTCAACCCCTGGAAAATTTGATTGTTGATATAATTAAATTTAGTTAGGGGCTGAGTCATTAAGTTATAAACTTGAAAGCCCAAAATCCATTTTTCTCCAGGTGGCATTTAAATGCAAACATTTGAAGATTATTAATTTAAAAATTTTTAAAGTATAGAGTCGATTTTCGTTTACATGTACTTATCTATCATTAAATTTGGTAAGTTATTACACGTCTGTAAGGACGTGCAAGATACAATTACTTATATTTTTACGATAATTACAACGATTATGGCAATTACAATCATAACCATTACGGTATATTTACAACTTTTGAGTATTAGTTGTAATTAGGGTTGCAACTCAGGTTGTAATTCATAATGTCTACTTACGGCCGGCAACCTTAATACTAGCACAATATGTGGTGCAAAGCACCACCCGCCTTGCTTAGGCAGGTATGACTAATCAAAGAAACTACAACTTCACTAATATCTAAAGTTATATGCAGAACTTACATTGTGTAGTATATTTATATCTGGATTTTTTTTCTTCTTGTTTTGCAAAATTTCGACAAAATTGGTTAATGCTTTGATGCAACTACAGTAAACTATTCAAATTTAAAATAATATCCGGAAATGACAATATGAAAAAAAAGAAGCTTTTGGAATTTTTTTATATATTTATAGTCTATGTTTTATTTAGATTTCTGATTTTCAGATTCACAGTAATTTGAAAAGAGCGATAAAAACTTATAGGACTTATATTATTATAAAATCAGTTCAGATTCCCAACACTAGTTTGTATAGTATCTTAAAATATGATGTATAATTTTTGATAAGGATTTCGAGTACTCGGTATAGTAAAGTTGAATTTTAAAAACCAATCCTCTTAATACTGTGAATTCGATAATAGCTTTGCTTATTATTATGAAGATTTTAACAGTAATTTATTAATAGTTGAGTGCCTTTACCATAAGAAAAATAAGTTGTACTTGTCTTATCTTATTAATAAATAAATATTTTTCTTTTATTAATTCAATAATAAATATCGTAGAAATAAAATTTAACATCATTTTTATTAAGCTGTCATAGTATTCTAAATATGCACTTCCAGAATCTTAATTATAATAATATACCTCACATTTAAGTTACTTTATTGTTTTATAACAACTTCACTATCACTTCCAAATCCAATTCTAGCTTTAATTTCAAATGGATCATGAAATCCTTTGCGAACGATCCAACAGATTTCAGTTACATCAAATTCAATTAGAGGGTCTTGAGAAAATATCAAAGAAAATTTTTTTATAGCCCCTTGTAATGATTTCTATTTCCACAAAATCAAGAAAAGTACGATTATTGTTAGAAAAACATAACTTTTTAAGATGTGTTAATTCGGTATAAAAAATTTTTTTTAAAAAACTTTATTAAAAATAAATTATTTCGAGGAAATGATGAACTTTTACCTCACCACGAAATTGTCCTAGCGATAAGTGTGGTCTAAATCCTTCGTTTCCAATTTTTATCAAATCATCAAATTCTGGAAATCCGTAATTTTCATCAGTATCATTTTTTTCATTATTTTCATCATTACCTAAAATAGATCTTCCAATTAATCTATTCTCTAATTCAATCAAAGCATCCTCGGGATTAGTTTCAGGTTGCAACCAAACAGTAGAGCTTTTTTTTCCATGAGTGAAATAATTCAAACTTTGTAACCTTAGTTTGAATGAATGGATAGGATGTAAAGTTTTTTTTAAAATTTGTAATATCATATTATCATCCATTATTTCTGAACCTATATTAAAATCATGATCTGAAGGAGGCTGTTGTGGCAAGATAAAAGGATATATTAAATTAATATGAGGCATCCATCTTTCGTAGTGTTTATCGTGTTGTTGACGAATTAATTGGATTTTTGACCAGTGAGATTTTGGAGGGATTATACATATCGCTGATTTATAAGACTTCATTCCTGCAGAGGTGATTTGTTAGACATACCAGGAACGGAGTATAATGATGTGTATGGTTTATTGGAGAGTGAAATGTTCTCTGTGCAAATCCTTCCTTTTGATTGGATGTACTGTTTCACATGTCTATTGTCCATGCAAACTCAACTAATTAGAAACCCCAATTTTACTATTAATACCCTCTGTAAATTAAAGTATTTTTAAACTTTTGAGTGAAGATATCTTGACTAGTGATGGGACCCAAATACTTTCGGCACTGATTGGGACTTACGGCAATTTTCGGTCGGGATTTGGGCTTTTGCCGAAACCCAAATGTAATCCCAAATCCCAAATACAATCCCAAATCCCAAATA